AGAATTTCTGTATTACAGAAAAGTAAACAACAAATCATTAACTTCATTCCAGACAAGGGCGAGATGTTTTGTTGTTACTAACTGATATGAAAGATTTTTTTTTTTTTTCCCATATTTTTTTTCCTTTTTATTATTCAGTGTATACTCTCCTGTAATGTGGAAAAAAGGGTATGTGATACAGATGAGCCCCATACCCCTAAAAAAAGAAAAAAAGGTGAGGGGATGGAAAAAAAAGAGAGGACAGTTTATAAAAGCCCAGTATCTGCAGTGTGTCAAGTACCAGAAATCAATGTCCCTCTTTTAATATACTTGTATTAGGACACTGCCAGGATTGAACTCCACTACCAGCAGCTAGGACGCGCAGAGCAAAGAACCACACAAAATGACGCAGAAGACGGGGCAAGTAGTAGTGGGAAAAATCCATTCAGTGGTCCATGTTAGACCCTTATCCATGCTTGTTTTAGAAATTTTTGGTGGCTCTTCATTCTTGGTTTTGATGTGGCCAATACACCGTATTTCATGACTGCACGGGTGTTAGAGCTTTCCGCACAAGCGGCAGGTTCATTCACTTTATTTTCACTTGTTTTAAGGCTAAACTTTTTATTATTATTATTATTATTATTATTATTATATTATGTCATCTATTACTAAATAAAATTTTCCTTATTTGTAAATTTTAAAAAGTGGATGAATATAAGTGAGGAAAAGAATGCTATGCTTATATGTATATATATATGTTATAAGATGCACAGCATCATTCTATTGATCTTGTTTTTTTTCATTTATTTATTTATTTACCATTAAGCAAAGCCACAGTGGATTAACATGCAACACCTGGTAGTGTGTAAGAAATGCACTTTTTCTTTGATAAGCATGCACAAAGTATGCTACTTTTGCAAACTTAAGCACATGTGTAGTGCTTTTGGGATTTTATTATTGGTAATAATCCCTAATAAGCAATTATGGTATATTCTTTAGTGTTTATTTCATATCAATGAATGCAGATTACAGTAGTAGGTAAGCATGAGTTATTATGATTGGCATTTATTTATTGATTCTTATTCTTATTTGTTTTTTTTATGTCTGTATTGACATAAGAAAGAATATTATGGAAGATGAGAGGTTCTCTCTCTCTCTCTCTCTTCCATTCTTTCTCTCTTTCTTTTCTTTTTCTTTCTTCTTCTCTCTTTCTCTTTTCTTTCTCTTTTCTTTTTCTTTCTTCTTTCTCTTTTCTCCTTCTCCTTCTTTCTTCTCTCTCTTTTTCTCCTTCTTTCTCTCTTTTTTTCTATTTCTCTCTATACCTTTCTCTGTTCTCTTCCCTCCTCTCTATTGCTCCTCCTTCTCCTTTTTTATGTTCTCTCCTCTCTCCTCTCCCTCCTCTTCCTTCTACTGTTCTACTGTCCCTCCTCTCTATACTCTCTCTTCTTCTCCCTCTTACCTCTCTTCTTCTCTCTCCTTCTCTCCTCTTCTCTTCTCTCCTCCTCTCTTCCTCTCTTCTTCTCCCCTTCCCACTATCTTCTCTCCCTCTTTCTCTTTCTCTTCTTCCTTCTTCTCCTAGCTCTTTCTATTTCCTCCCTTCTTCATCTCTTTCCTCTTTCCCTCTCTCTTACACTTCTCTCCCTCTCCTCTCTCTTCTCTCTCCTCTCCTCTTCTTCTTCTCATCATAAACACTTACATCTCTTCTCTTCTCTGTCTCACTACCTAAACCTCTCAAACAATCTCAAACCTCCTCTAATAAACCAATAATAAAAAAACCTCAAAAAAAACTACAAAAATCTCTACCAATCAAAACTTCCTACCTCATAACTAAACCAATCATAAACAACCTAAAACACAACCAACAAAAAAAAACAACCCCCTCAACCATACTCCCATCCACCCATATCACCATTTACACTCCTACATCCCCCCTCCCCCCCCCACACTACCACACACAACAAACACAACCACACAAAACCCAATCATCAACAAAAACATCTAAAAATAAGAACTACGAAAAGAAACTTTCTACTCAACCCCTCTAACACCTCCTCCTCAACAATTAATAACCAACCCAATCATACCTACTAAAAACTAACTACACCACATCCACAACATTCTCCCCCAACCCACCACACACACACTACACCACACGACAAACACAAATACCAAACACACAAACAAAAAAATAATGAACAAAAAAAAAACAAACAAACACAAGAAAAAAAACAACACAAAAAAAACAAAACAAAACAAAAAAAAAACAAAAAAAAACAAAAAAAAAAACAAAAAAAAACAAACAAACAAACAAAAAAAAAAAAAAAAAAAACAAAAAAAAAAAAAAAAAAAAAAAAAAAAAATCTTCTCTCCCTACGGTCAACCCTCTCCAAAAAAAAAAAAAAAAAAAAAAAAAAATCATCTACTATACACATCTAAACCAAATCAACTAAAAAAACTCCTCTCTCTTAAACATACTCTCGTCACCCTCTCCTATTCATCAATCTCCCTCTCCTACCAAAAAACCTTCCTACTCTCTTCTCACACGACTTCTCTATTTCTACTCCTTCCATCTCTTCACATCTAAAAACGCCTCTCCCTCAACAACTAAACTACAAACCATTAAACTCTACAATCACAATATCTACAAAAAAATATAAACATGACAAAAAATCTCAATTCTCATCAAATCACGTATACGTACTAAAAATAACAATACAAATAACTACAATACTATCTACCTCTCACACTAACCTCAAAAAAAAAAAAAAAAACCAATCAAATACTAAAATAGATAGCTCTAACTCCATCAAAAACCTAAAAAAAACTATTCTGTAAAAAAAAAATGACATACATCAATAACAATTCACTCCTATCTCTAATGCTCTCAAATAACCACATTAAAACCTACCTCAAAATTAACAAATCATATGCTACATCTAACCTCATCTAAACACTAATCATCTATGCTCATTTACCTGACCCTTACAACACTTACATCTACATTAATAAATACTCACTCACAAAATCTAAACTAACGTCCTATAAAAAAAATCCAAAAACCAACCTATAACTCAAACAAAAAAAAAACAAAAAATAAAAAGACAACCCAAAACAAACAAAAAAAACAAAAAAACAAAAAAAAAACTCACTACACCAAAAAAACAAAAATTTCTACATAATTCAAACCACCAAAAAAAAAAAAAAAAACCCAATCTTACATCTCTACCTCTCTCCATCTCATAACTTCTCTACTAACAAACACACATCTCTTCTCCCTCCTCTCTTCATCTTATGCTCTCGTCTCTCTTCTACTAAAACACCTCTATTCTCACTCTCTAAAACTAATAATCTTCTAAAAAACTAATCATCTACTCCTTTACCTCTTACAGACCTAATACTACTATAACTACTCAAAACAATGCATAAACTCTATATAAAAAAATTCCATCTCTCCTCTCCCTGTACTCTAAAATCTCTCTACCAATTCTAGACTCTTCTCTCATCACTCTCAACTGAATACAATAACTATACTCATACTACAACTACATACCTAACTACAACATAGTACTGACTCTTATACACTGATACATACAACCTTAACTATACATAACATTAACAATCTTCTCAAAAAACCTACATTCCACAATTCTCTAAAAACATATCTACTCTAATATACTCTCATACCCTACTCTAAAACCTACATACTCCAATCTATACTACTATAACTCTCTTCTGCTCTTCTCTCTTCTCTCTCCCTCCTCTCTACTAACCAATCTCTCTTCTACATCATTATACTCTACTAAAAAAAAAAAAACAAAAACCAATCTCTTAAAAAAAAACCATCTACTCCATCTAACTAAAAAAAATCAAAATAAGATGAAAAACTCTCTACACAATCTACATTAATAACCATACTCTAACAATCTATAAATAAAAAAAAAAGCATCCTCTAAGCCTCTCTAAACCCCCCCCCCCCCACCCCCACCCAACAACATACAACCAGATCAAGACCCCATACCCCAATAACAAACACTCGACAAACAACCACCCCACTCCCCCCAAACACGCCACCCCAAACACCAACAGACAAAAAACACACAACCAACCCCCCCCCCCACCCCCTCCCCCCCCCCCCCCGCCCCCCCCCCCCCCCCCCCCCAAAAAAGAAAAAAAAAACACCACAAAACTCAAAAAAACAAAACAAAAAAAAAAAAAAAAAAAAAAATAAAACAGAACTGACCATACATTCTAACCATTCATCAAAACAACAAAAAAACAATAATAAAACTCTAAAAAAAAAAAAAAAACAAAAAAAAAAAACAAGAAAATAATAATAATAAAAAAAACTAAAACAATAAAAAAAAAGCATCAATCATCATATAACCTAACAAAAAAAAAAAAAAAAAAAAACAAAAACATGAACAAATTCATTAACAAAAAAAAAAAAAAAAAAAAAAAAAAAAATATGCTCTCTCCTCTAAATAACAACAATTACGATCTTAAAAATACTAACATCATACCTCCCACTCACTTAAAAAACAAAAAACAAAACTACTAAAAAAAAACTTACAAAATAACAAAAAAAAAATACTAATATCCATACATCATTTATCTTCAAAAAACAAACAAAGCCCCCCCATCATAAAAACTACTCCTAATCCCACCAAAATCCAATAACATCACCCAACAACCAAACAAAAACACCAAACAAAAACCAAAAACAGCGATACTATCTCAAATTATCCCCCTCCAAAAACCCATTTCCTACTAATTCAACCAAACCACACCCAAAACATAAACTATCTTACTCAACATTCTCTCTTCTCTATCATATACATAATTACTCCTAACATCATACAGCATCTACTTCCTCTCTCATCTAATGCTCTAACATTATCTACTAACCGATAACTACTCCAACTCATAAATCTCTCTTCTTCTTAACTTACATCTTACAGTAAGCTAATGCTCTCTTCTCTCTCACTCATACTACATCATATGCTCTCTTTAACTACTCTATCCACTCTCTCAATCGTTGCTCCTTCTCTCTAACTATTTCATCCTACATGCCCATCTTCTCTTCCATCTCTCATACTATGCTCATCATCTCTACTATTCTATCAACAACCATCTCTAAAAACTGCTCTTACTATCCTTAACCCTCCCGCCCTACTCTATAGGTATTAACCTTCCTCATTACTCTATGCATCTCTCTTCCTCTTCTCTATGCTCTATTTACCCTCATCTACATTCTCTATGCATCATTTCTCAACAACCTCCTTCTCTCTCCCTCACCACCATCTCTCTCACCTCCACCCAAACATACTCCTCTCTCTCATCCATCCTCTCTTCTCCTCCTCCCTTATCTCCCCCCCCCCCCATCTGATCCCTCCCCTCTCGCTCCCCCCCATCTCTCTCCCTCCCCTCCCCATCTCTCACTCCCCTCCCCTCTCCCTCTTCCCTCCCTCTCCTCCCTCCCCCCCTTCCTCTCTTTCCCCCTCTATCACCCTCATTAACTGTCTCCTTCTCACCCACTTGTGCGGATGTGTATTTGTAGTCATATATAATTCTCATTTCTCAGTGAATGATTGCATATGTGAATAAAGAAGGAAAAATGAAAATAAAAAATCTGCATCTTTATTTCCCAAACTATTCTATGAAATACCCTGAATTAGATTTCTGTAAAGTCCTCTGCAGCTATTAATACCAATGAGAATACCACATAGTATTAGTAAAGCTACTATGATAGACCCTTTGTAATACTGTAGAGATTATAAAAATGTTAAGAATATTATTTGTCTGTTTAAACTTTGCACTATATTGATATTGGACAAATGGGTGAAATAAGAGATGAACATTGAAAATATTTTTTTATTTTCTTCAAGAATATTTTTTTTCTGGAAATAATTTGAGTCTACAAAAGTTATTCAATATTTTTCTGCTACAGTAGAACTGATGTTTGCCGTTGAAATGTTGGCCCCTTTTCCTCAAGCATTACAGGACTTTGGTTTGATCAAATATATTTTTATTTACATTTTACAAAATGTGTTCAGGTAATTATTTTTGTGGCAGATTATTATGGTGGAAAAAATGACGTTTACATATTTATGTAGCTACTCATTTTCATAACATGCCTTTGAAGACAAAATAAATGTGTATTGATATTTAAACATGAAAAGCTCAACCATTATAATGCTAAATAATTACTTCATCTAAACTCAGTAATCCAAATTGTGACAGAGATGCATAATGCACCTCACCCAAAAAGAAACAGTACCTGACTTGTATTTTTCCCTGCCCTTCCCAGTCTGGACACATTAGTGAGACACTTCCAGACCCAGATTCTGTTGTGGCGGATCTCCCTAAAGATAGACCACTGCGGGTATTTGCCGAGTACGAGTATGTAAGGGACTATCTTACCGACAGCCGTTTTGTAGTAACAGATGTGGAGGATGAGGCTGACATTCTTTGGCTTGTCACACACTTTAAGGATTACAAGTGAGTTGGTACTGCTTTTTGTTATTGTCAGGCCTCAAAAATTATTTGAAATGGTATAGGGATAAGGTGATGTAAATGATTTGATGTCGGCGTGTTTTACAAATCAGTCTGTATAATTTTCACTACGGGAAATCTGTCCCATAAATATTGCATGTAAGACAGTTACAGAAAAAGATCAATGTCCTTTTTATATATAACCTAGATGAGTCCTTAAGTATTTTTATACACTACATTCAAAAAGCCTGTTTTAGGGCTTGTTCTGATATTAGCACTGCCATAACAAAACCCCCTTCATCCAAGATACCTTATGATTCCAGGGGTCTTAGAGAGAAACCACACTGTCGAGTAAACCAGTTCCCCTGTGAGCACTTGATAACCGTAAAGGACCTCCTGGCCATTGTGTGCAGAAGGGCTGCAGACCAAGAAAAGAGTGAAGAGAAGGAAACAAGTGGACCCTCTTGGCTGCCTGTAACTTATTGTTTAAAAAGGGAGCTTGTGAAGTTTGTTTCACTCTTTCAGAGGAGAGAAAAGCGGTAAGTTTTGAAGGATGGGGGGATGGTGAGTAAGTTATAGTTGAATTAAAGTGGTAAATGAAGCTTTTACACAGGTCTTGATTCCCCAAAGCATTTTCATATGATGAAAAACATGATAAACCAAACATTCTATGCCAAATTTTTGTATTAACTTTCTGGTGATTTGAAATGGCTTCATTCACAGAGGAGAAGACAACCACTGGATCATTAAACCCTGGAACCTAGCACGAGGCCTGGACCACACCATCACCAATAATATAAACCACATTGTACGGTTGCCTGCTACTGGTCCAAAAGTAGGTAGTTATTAGTATTTATTTGTTATGCATTTTCTTGTTAGGTGACCTTCAGAGTTATAAATCTAAACACCATTTGCCTTGCTTTATGGTGGTTATTGGTATTCAGTGTATTTGATTGTCAAAAGCATTTAAGATATTTATTGTTATTTCTACTAATCCTTCAGGTTCACCAAGATTATGGGAGATCTTTTAAATCAATTTTCCCACTTGTCACTTTCCAGATTGCTCAGAAGTACATATCAAACCCTGTCCTGTTCCATAGAGATGACATCAAGTGTGATGTCAAGTTTGATGTCCGCTACATTGTGATGCTGCTAAATGTGAAACCACTGAAGGTAATTGTTCCGTAGAAAGTTTGTTTTAGGATTGATGAGAAAGATGGGAAGAAGAAACAAAGTGTGAGGAAACATATTGGCAAGAAGGATGGCTGGAAGGATGAGATGTAATCATGTCATGGCAAATCAGGCCCAAGTGCTAGGTTGCAAGTAACCAAGTCATGTAAACCGAACATGAATATGTTTTCTAATAAATAAAACTACATAGGGCACTACATGTATACATGCACACAGAATGAAGATATTACTGAATTAAAAAACAAAATTCATACCATTTAAGCTGAAGTAAAATGTTTTATGATTAGACAAGTTAGGTGTTAAGGAATGCTATGGTTTGCTTTCGGTGATTAAAGGTACCATCTACTTTAAAAATGACTTAGCAATTATCAGTTATGCATTTCTTGATAGCCTTTGGCCTTCATTAGCAATTCAGACACCCTAATCACAAGTTTTCCTACTAACAACATGGTTACCAGAAATTTCAATAAACTATTTTTATAGTGTGCATTTGAACAGGTTTCCAGTTAGAATAAGAGGTATGAGTTATAATAGTGGTAGAGTTTAAAGATATTGTATAGCAGTTGACAATCCATTTTCTAGCATTGTAGGAATCTGGAGGGTGCTGGATACCTAATGGATTTTTTTAGGAGGCACAATTATCATATGTGTCAGAACATCAATAACACTAAATATAGCCTAGTGCATTTGAAATTCAGCAAAGATCACTACTCATATTGTAAAAAAAAAACCTTTAAATGTGAATTCAATCCAAGACAAGCATAGGAATGTCATGAGCACATGTCAGAGACCGTGGGCAGGGTGCAATACTGACCCCAGTTGCCTCTTTTTCTTGTGCCCAGCTCCTAGAATTGGGCAAATGTATGGAATTATTACTATACCAGTACCGTAAAATAGCCTGGGCTCCTTTGCCTTTAGGGAAGGGGAAGTAAATGAGAGAGTGAGCATGAGAGAAAGAGAGAGAATGTGTTTATATGTATGTGTGTGTGTGTGATGATGCCACCACCACTCTGAAGTCTGAAGTACTCTGAATAGTGTTTATAAACCATTCAGAGTTTTGAATCTGTGATAAAAAATGCAGTCAAAAATATGAATAGCAAAATTCATCGAGAAAAAAAGAAGTAGAGGAAGTAGAGCTTTTCCCTCATCCTTACTACCATCCTACCCCTCCTCAGGTTCTCCTGGCACCCCCATGTGCATATTGGATGTACCTGGCTCTTCTTTGACTCCATTGCAATTAACCAGTTCACTACAACATTTAACCCGTTGGTCGCAGTATTTTGCAGAACTGCATGTAATAATCCCATAGCATTATTTATTTTGGATTCATGGGACCGTGCTGGAGAGTGTGCTCTGTGGCGGTGCTGCTTTCCCTCCTTCATACATGTGTGTTTGTATATGTATATATGAAAAAATATATGTTTGCAAAAGTATATATAAACTCTTGCAAAACTCGTGCTCAGAAAGAGTGGAGGGCCTGGTTTTAGCACTTGCTGGAGGAGTTTGACTCTTTTGGCAGGAAACATCCCATTGCCTGCGCAAGCCCGAGTGGCAGGCCTGAGCCCTGGAAGGCTGCTAGGGGGACACTGGCCTGGCAGCTGATATCCCCTGACCTGCTTAGCTCCCAGGTTGCACAGCCACCCGTTGCTCCAAGGGATCAGCCATTAATTGCACTTTGCACATATGATGCCATCCATGACCGATGGGTTAATTATCCTGTTAATAAAGATTCTATTAACTAGATCTTTCAATTATCATCATGACTTTCTCGTCCACATACTTGGTGATCCAGGTCTGTAGAATGAAGTAGGATGCACATCATCTTTCATATTCATTCTTTCCTTCATTTGCTTGAGCTATGGCTAATGCTAAATTTCAAGGGGTCATGATAGCAATGTACATAAGCAGACTGTACCACCAACCATTAGTGCAAGGTCAAAATTTGGCAGGCTAGGAAAAATTTATATAAATCTTCAGAAAATTGATAAACTTTGTACTTTTTGCAGGTTGCTGTGTACAAACGCTTCTGGATTAGATTTGCCAACAAGCAGTTTGAGTTGAATGAGTTGGATGATAGTCAGAAGCATTTTACAGTTAACAATTATAATGATGCATATCTTCTGCAGGTAAGTATGCATGGTGTAAATTATGTTGTTTGTGTGTGCATATGCTATGGATAAACAAATTGAAAATTATATATATATAACTTTTTAAAGTTATAAGTGCATTTAAATGATATGTGCCTTGACTCTTTCCATGCCTAGATGTACTGCCACGACTTCATTGCCAAATTCAATGCCCAAAATCCAGAACATCCTTGGAAAATTACGGAGAAAAAACTGTTTGACATATTTCTTCAGGTAAATTTCCCTATTGTTCGTTGGTGCTGTCATAATTTAAAATCCACAGTGGTTGTGTATTAGTGCTGTATGATATCTCAGTAATATTTTATTGATTATTTTAAGCCAGGTATGTCTTGAAGATAAAGTAGTAATGCATTACGAATCAGATTTTTTCCTCTCTCCCTATATCTCAATTTCAAAATTGTCAAGGAAAATATTGTCAAAAGCTGCGCTAATATATAACTTGTCTATGGTGAATATAGCAAAAGCACCTGGTTTTTCTTCTCTCCTTTGTTTCAAACCTTAAAGAAATAAAAAATTCCACAGGTCTTTAAGGCAGCCACCTCTCAAGATGCTCCTGGTGGCATCCCACAGAATGCTCAGTGCAAAGGGTTCTATGGATTTGACATCATGCTGGAATGGATGGAGAAGGATGGTAAGGTTTTAAATAACTTTTTCTTTTTCTTCTTCTTCTTCTATATCTTCGTCATCATGAGTTTGAAGAGAGGAGAATTAGAATAGGTGCCTGCACACGACATAAAAAAGTAGAAGAGTAGTTTTAAAATTACCAGCATTAGAATCATAAAATACCATGCCTGTAGCTATATACATGCCACCTTGAATTCTGGCTCAACAGTGCCAGGGCATGGATTGATTCCATCTGTCATGATTGGGTTAGGTAATTTCAAGAAATTAAAAAGTATATATCAACAAAAATTGTAGCTGTGGGTATTTTTCTGTGATTGAACATGGAAGGAAGGATGAGAGTAAATGACATTTGAAATAAAGATTAACGATTTAAGATTGTGGTAATATTTGGCAAAAATACATGTCATGTTCACTTTAATTTTATATTTATAATTGTGTATACATATAGATGGCTACCCAAAGGCTTAGACTCCAAGGAGTCTGTGATTGGTCCTACCTGTCTCACCTCATTCCCCTATTCCTTGATTTCAAATGATTCATTTTGCTATTTTATTTTTATTGTTTAATATTTTTAATTATTTTATTGTATTTTGATAGCTGCATAGTTTTGATATTAACCCACTAGTCATGATTCCTTTGGATGTGCTATACACCCTCATTTCTGAGTGGTATATATAATGGCACATGACAGCTGCTGGGGACCATGAGTCACACACCTTAGTCGACCAAATCAGAGCGTAAGCTCCAATCTTACGCCTCTCTTATAGCCATGAGTGTATATTGAAGATAATGCTTTTGAGAAAAAAAACGATGATTTACGTGCTTATAAAGCTAAAATGGAGACCCATAGCTTGTAATGGTTAGAAGTTTCAGTATAGAGTCCACACTCTAATTATGCCATGTATGCTACACATTTGCCATGATATTGTGAGGGTAAATAAGTTTTTTTTTTTATAGAATTTTTTTTTTTTTTTTTTTTTTTTTTTTTTTTTTTTTTTTATGTGATGGTGCAATCCCTCTATTTTTAGTCCCTCTACATCCAAAGTATATGGGGATATCCATCCTCCTCCCCTACAAATTCCCCCTACCCCTACTTATAGTTGCATGTGCAATAAGAAATTGTCTTAGAAATATCCATGTAGACATAACAGATGTTACTGAGGTCCATTGGAGTATGTCTCACACAAGACACCCAGCATACAGCCGAAAACAATAGGGTCTCACTTATAAGCCGCCAGGAAATGGTCCATGCTCTGGGCATCCCACTGGTGGGATGACTGTCTTTAGGTGGTTTATAGTATTAGAAAAAACAGAATTTTCTTGCAAATTCAAGGCATTGGGAAATCAAGGTATAGTCACTGGAGCATGCTGTCTGACTCCTTGATAGCTGAGCATTTGAGGAGCCATCATGTGTACAACTAAATACACAAGAAACAATAATAGAAAGTACATAAATCCCTTTTCATTGGGTTGGTACTTAATGTTGAAGAAGTGACATAGGGAGAGTTACGTAGGAGGATTGTATCGTGCCATGTGATTTGTGAACTTTTAACCCATTGCCGACGGGTAAAAATTTTGGCAAATGGATGTATGCACGGGCTTGTTGGCGTGCATCAGCAGTTTCCCCTGTTTGCGCCTGGCTAGATTGGTAGTTTGCGAGTGACATTTAGCACCTAAAAGCTTTTATTTTGCTAAAATTGATAAAAATATTAAAATTTTGAAGGTTTACCTTCATTATAGGTGCCATTGCCTAAAATTTTTACCATATAAATGAAGCCACTACTATCGGAGAAAAACCTCCTCCATCCGACGAGCCAGTGGCGCGGGAATGGGCATGACATGATGCCCCACGGCGTTTGGTCCACAACAGCCATGGCATGTACGTACGTGCCACCCAGCGGCAATGGGCTAAGTTAATACTTAGTGTCGGAGAGTTGACCAGTAACTTCCAAAAGTTACTGGCAAACAGTGTTAAATTATTGGTGATTAACAGGGAGAAATAGAATGTAAAAATTGTTTGCAGGTTATGTTTTACTTTAAAAGGTGAATGTAATGATGATAAAGGTAAGATAGATAATTGAAATATATAAGAAAAATGAAAATGACATATATGTGTTTATGATGGTTTGTCAAAGGTTTCCAAGTTTAAGGTAATTGATGGATATTTAAAAAAACGAAATCTGATATATATAGGACTTTTGGATCAAAAGCCTCTTCTGTCTTTTACTTTTTTATGCCTCTTCTCTTCATCTTGAGTCTTTTTAGTCTACTAATTACAGATTTTATTTTACAGGTCAGAAAACCATGCAGCCAATAATTCTGGAAGTCAATTTCAATTCAGATTGTAAAAGGGCTTGTGAATATTATCCTGAATTCTTCAATGATGTTTTTAGTGTCATGTTTTGTGATGAAACAGATGGTCATAATGTTGCAGTTCTTCAGTAACTGTGCAGACTACCCTGGTATGCCTTGCCATACTCTGTGATATGTACTAGATTCTCTCTACATAAGATGTTGAACTTATCTTTGTAAACACAAGAGCTGTAATTCTTTGAAGGTCATGTGTGGTATTAGCATGACTTTTTTGGTTTGTGTTTTAAAGATGGTCTTGAAAGCATTTAAACAGACTCCTCTTTGTGTTTTCTAGGGTAATTAAGCCTGACATTTTGAAGTATTTTGGTGGATATTGCATGTCAGTTTGCCTTGTTGGTCTCACTGTGGTAGAAATTGCACACCTGTAGAACATAACAAGGTACATAATTTTATTTTTTTTCTTTAATGGATATGAAATTTCCAGTGTAGTAATCTCATAGAATATTTGCTGGAATTTTGCCAGATCCAAAGTCCCCCAAGAGTGTGGCATATCCCTGAGTGGGAGATTTCAGGCATAAAACCATAATATAGAACTTATGGATAAAGAGTGTAATTGAGAGCATGCTGGTTTATTTTCTTTAATGGATATGGAATTTCCAGTGTAGTAATCTCATAGAATATTTGCTGGAATTTTGCCAAATCCAAAGTCCCCCAAGAGTGTGGCATATCCCTGAGTGGGAGATTTCAGGCATAAAACCATAATATAGAACTTAATGGATAAAGACTGTAATTGAGAGCATGCTGGTGCACTGTCATAGGTTGTGTAATAAAAACTTGAGGCTTTTGCACTGCACATATTATTTGATGTATGAATATATTGCAGATGCTCATTTCCATGCTACCTCCAGCTCATAAACATTCCATAGCTCTCAACAAATTTACAGAATTGGTGTTGTTATATGTTATATTTCCTTAAAAGTTTGCTCGCATGAATGTAAAATGTAAATGAAAGATGAAATTAACATCTGCGATAAAATCACATGTTCGCAGCTCAAAATATATAATTTAGTGTTTTGTAGCCATGCATGCGGACAATCACGTCATCCTGGTTTTTTAATTACATCTTTTAACACAGCTGTATTTGTGGGTTGTGTATTGGATAAGGTTATTGTGGTGTAATGCTTAGTGAAGTGCCTGTAATAATTAGATATGTATAATAGAATCAATCACAGGAAGTGTTTTCATCATTTAAACTCTGTCAAAGAAGACACTGTATTCAATGGATTATGAATTTATTATTGGTAATAGGAGTTATTAAAGAATACATAATGTATGAAACAAACTATTTTTTCAATTTATGGTTATTTTGCAAATTACTTTTTTTTCTCTGTTAAGTTTGATCACATGCCAGATTTACTTAATTATGGTGATATACTATAATGTTACTGTTTCACTTATTATATTATATTGAAATGTATATTTTATTTGCATTGGGTGAGGCTGAAATACATGTAAATGTATGATATAGTACAAGATGAATGATACATGGAAAGGACATCTTTGCTAACAATACCTGTCAAAATGAGCCATCCTTTTGCAAAAAGGAACGTTTAAGGAAAGGGGAGTTACCCTTAAACAAGATTATTAATCACTTGTAGAAAGTGAGATGATGAATGTTGAATAATGACATGTGAGATTACTTTTTATTGTTGGTAAAGAGAAGTAAATTGCGAGGCTTCTTGTTATTATAGACAAGAAAATATTGAGTCTCCTTAATGTACCAAGGAGGAGTTGTTGTTGTTGTTACATTCGCTAGCCATGCTAGAATGAGGAGTGCGGCATGACTAGCCCGGGTTACGCGTATGCCACCCGGAAGAGTAACTGGAGAAGTGGTGGTGATGGCTATCTGTCGTGATAGACATGAGATTATGTACCAAGGAGTATTGCATTCAGCCATGGTGCCAAATTTGGCCGGCAACTTGGAATCACAATAGATCACAAGTGACTACTAAAAAACTCACCCTGTATTGTTTATGACTGAACAGTTTGTTGAAATGACTGAATAGAATATGTTGTTGAAGGAAAGCCCAGAATGTGGTAGTGAGTATTAAGTCTCTCTCATATTGAGATAATTTATTGTTAGTAAAACTAGATTTGTTCTTTTGTTTACATCCTCTTATTGGTGCAGTGGCTACTTATGTTTTGATTATTTAGCCATTCTGTATTGTAAGAAAGTATTAAAAAATTTATTTTACTGGATCATTTAATTTCCTTTCAAACTGCAAGTATATAGTACCCATTATTCAAATGTTCCCTCTAAAGGTGTGAATGCATTTGCCTTCAGACTGCCTGAAAACTACATGAACTTCTTTCAGAGCAACTACCAAAGGCAACTTATCACTGGAATCTCTAGACTGATGCAAAGGGCAGTACCACAGTTTCCTACATTTTAGGTCTCCTTAATGAAATTCAAGAACTCGCTTAATTATTTCCTATTAGTATACTTTAGGCTTGTCATTACCGAGGGGATAATAGTCCTTGAAAGGCAAAATAGCCACTATCCAACAGTACAACCTGATGTATTGTCTTGTAGTGAGATGTGTGGTTTAAAAGAAGGATGAGTTCCCTAGTAAACAATTTATTCCAAATCAAGACATTCATATATTCACAATGTAAGAACCTTTGAAAGGCGACTTGTAAATTGACCTGATTGTGTGAGTACCTTTGTTGACACTTCACTTTGGTTACTACCATGTTGCAGTGTCTAGTTGCATTGGCATGTTCCAGGCTGCTCTGCTCTATTGGAACCTTTAGGTGTAAAACACTTGAGTGGTAGATAATTTTAAGGACTCAAAGTCCTGGCAGTGCTTTTTAACTATGTATCTGTATGCATACACTCATACTCTCACTTAGCCACCCCCACCTCTCATAGAAGAAATTTGTTTACAATAAAGATAAATGTAAAAATCCCTTCTGCTTTTTCTGTTTATCAAATCAAATCAAATCATAACAAATTAAAATTCAGCAGCTTTCTCTTTTAATTAATCAGTATCTTTCCCTTGCTTTCAAATCAATCACATTTTGCTTTCATAGATTACATCAATACCTGACTACAATGGTAATAAAAATTACTTAGGAACATTCAACATTTAATACTTTCAGTATATATAAAGTATCTCTTATGAAATATCACATAGGAATGCTTAACAATAACACCCACATGGGAATATATGTGTAAGCTTTCCTCTGTGAAAAGGACAGATGAAAACATGAATAAAATTTTCATGTAAACCAAACAATATAATGCTCTTCACGCACGCACACATCCACTTAATTTAGGTATATGGAGAAAACGATCAAAACCGATCTCGTGCTTTTTCCGCAAATGCTTTCAGGTTGCCATAAACTTTGGAAGGAGGACTCCCTGGAAGGAAAAGGCCAACCAAATTAGATAAATAAAGTAGAGACTTGTATATGGCCTCAAGAACTGTCACTATTAAATCAGAACAGTAATCCCTTAAAAATATATATATTCTTGTAGCACTGCAGGTAATCACATTTATAAAAATTTTTTTTTTTTTTTTTTTTTTTTTTTTAATAAGAGTTGAAGGAAGAGGATCAGGATGAAAAAGCAGCAAAAAACAAAAGGATAATGCAAAAAAAAAATTTTTTTAAGTAAAAAAACAGCAGCAGGAAAAGACTTACCAAGAATAAGGTTGCAGATAGCTCTCCTAGCAATCTGAATATTCTGATAAGATCCCAATATGTGCACCCTTGAGTCAGCCAGAATAATACGAGTGCGTGTTGCATTCTCAATTGTGAAGCGCGTTTTGCCCCCTTTGCCTGCTACTCTGCCAATTGCTCTTGAAAGATGGTCACCTTGCAGACTCAGTTTTACTATATGGTAAGAGAGGGTGAGGAAAAAAAGGAATGCATTAACCTACCTTCAATGACAACAGATTATTTTCTGTGATATTTATTCATAATTTATGACAAAGAACTTTGAGGCCCAATTAAGCTATATTGTTACACACAGTCTATCTATCTGCTGATAGTCTTACAATTCCAATAATTCCAAGTGTTTAAAACTCCTAATCATTCTATTAATTCACAAATCTAAATATGAAAATGTACTCTCAACATCTCCACACTTACCATCTTTAATATCAAATGTCTCGAGGTAAAGGTCATCTAATCGTACAAGTGCCAGGCAGTCATTAACATCAAAACCATAAACAAAAGCCTGTATAAAGTCAGCTGCCTTCTGAATACTGTTTGGATCATCTGTTTCTGGGCCAGTCTGAAATATAAGGGTAATTATATTATAAAGGAGGAATATGCAATGTGTTGGAATTGTTGCTGTAACAAGCAAGGTGTGTACATACCATATGTTAGTATTATAGCTGTAACATATTAACCTGTTGTGGGTGGGTGTCAACATGTAGCTGACGGTCAAGTTGTTGGCTTGAGCCCTAGAATGTTATCTACCCGCTTATGTGGTTACACCTACTTTCTCCATGACTTAAATGCCATAAGCTATGCATTTTCATGCAAAGACACCCCATAGGTGACTCAAGATAATGATCTAGTACTGCATGACCTTACAAATGGCCATACTTTGGCTAACTCACTGGTTTATCTTTTGTTTTTAGCAACCTTTAGGTGCCAGGAACCCATCTTTCTGAACAGCTTCCAATGCTAAGTATGGGCATACTGGTTTCCAAGTTTCTCTCTGCTTTTGGGTATAATGCCATAAACCTGTAGTCTGATCATTGAGACCTGGATTAGTGGGACTGTCTACTCTGAATTCAACATCCCTTTTGCTACTTATTTTTCATATCCCCCTCTGCAGGTCTAGTTGTTTTAGTGTAACAAGTATTTTTCAATATTTTTTTTATCTAATGATCTGTGAGACCTAGATGTAGGAATGGTGTTTATTGGAAGGTGTACAGTTAGTAAGTGTGTACATTTATCTGTCAATGATATAATTTTCATGTACATTTCCTTCATACATACAGATACTTTTACAAACGCAAACATACACACTAGAATCTCTCCTTGATACTTACGCGAAGTTCAACATTTCTATTCTTTAAGTTGAAGCGGACTTGAAGCTTCAGGTGCTCCACAAGAGGTGAATATATTTTTGTCCAACTGTCCTTCAGTGGAGTGTATCTGTAATAGAAAAAGGTATCCCTTTCTTAGTAATTCTAAACAAATATTTTTTTTACATCCATTATGTTTTTTCAACATTTTACTTTTCTTAACTCAATGGCACCTAGGAAATAACCAGAGCAATTGGGCACTGTGCTGGGACTAAATTTATGGTTAAGTGCACAGGTAAAAAATTAGAAGTGTACTATATTTCTTCTCCCTTGCCTTTAATTCTGGACAATTCAACTATGGAAGGAATATGAGCAAACACAAAAGCAAGTATGTGCACACACAAATTCTATAAAATGATTACTTTATTACCCCTTTCCCTCTGAATAGCACATATGTCATACCATGCAAAGAATGGCCATCTCTCACCAGGGTACTAGTGTCATTCCACTATCGTCTCAAACTGAGAGTAGAATGAAATATTTTTTGCTGTGGTAGCTGGACATTTTCACAAGAATTAGATTGAAAAAGAGCACTTTCATGTCTGTATCAAAGCCACAAACCAGGACTTGGTGGATGTAGAGAATAAAAACAAGCACCATATGCCTGTACATTCACCATAGTTAGGTCATTAACCCATTGGCGCCGGGTGTCATGTACGTACATGCCATGGCTGTTGTGGACCAAACGCCGGGGGCATCATGCCATGCCCATTCCCGCACTACTGGCTCGTCGGACGGAGGTTGTTTTTCTCCACTAGTAGCGGCTTCATTTATATGGTAAAGATTTTAGCAATGGCACCTAAAGTGAAGGTAAACCTTCAAAATTTTAATATTATTATAAATTTTAGAAAAATAAAAGCTTTTAGGTGCTATATGTCGCTCACAAACTACCGATCGAGCCGGGCGCAAACAGGGGAAACTGCCAGTGCGTGCTTACAAGCCGGCACATACGAAAACTTGACAAAATTTTTACCCGTCGCTGATGGGTTAAGCATTTTTGCCAGATTGGAGGCACTGGGTTAATAAACATATTAACGTTCATATTAATTTCTTGGCAAAATATGCTTATTATGAAAAGAAAAAGAAAAAGCAGGATAAAGGGAATGACAATGATAGCAATGACAACAGAAATGAGAACCAAATTATACAGAAGGAGAAGGAGAAGGAGAAAAAGAAAGAGGAGAAAAAGGAGAAGGGGAAGAAGGAAAACAAAAAGGAGATGGAGATGGAGAAAGAGAAAGAGAAAGAGAAGGAGGAGAAGGAGCATAAGAAGGAGAAAGAGAAAGAGGAGAAGGAGCATTAGAAGGGAATAAGGAAATGAAAGAGGAGAAGGAGTATAAGGAGAAGAAAGTGAAGATGGGAGATTAAGAAATCCCAAACAGATATATGTAAGATGCGAAATTAATTGTGAAAAACAAAGAAACTATATGAATAAAAACAAATAACTGCAATGACTAAAGAAAGCAACAGATATATCTCAATACTGCACCTCCATTACCATTACACATAAATCTAATACATATGTAAAAGTGAAATACATCAACAGCTGCTCTGTGAAGTTATTTGTCTTGTTCATATTCTTACTAAAATGCAAAAAATAAAACTTACCTGTTTGGAGGGATGAAGACTCGCCTCATTTCAGCACTGACGAGCCTTTCCTTTTTGGCTGGGGGAAAATGGGGCTTCTTTGTTTCTCCATCCTGTCAACAGAATGTCGTTTGAGTTACAAGGGGTTCTAAAACATAACAGCACAAAATACAGTAAAATATAATATAGTAATGACATACAAACCTAATTATAAAAATAATCATATGATAAACCCTTTCTATTTGGACCCAAGAAATGCTAATTTACTATACTTTGTTTTTTATATAATGAAAAACTTGATACTGCCAATAATCTATAGTAATCTATAGAAATGCATATTTAGAAGCAGTTGTAAATATTCCTCTACAATGATTGAAAGAATGGAATGAGATACAAAATCTAATTCTACTATTCCCTACCTTAGTGGCCATTTTCTGGACATAAATGTTTAATAAGTTAAGTAATTGTGAAAGATAACCAGTAACACAGTAATAATTATATTTTCATTATTATTATTAATACTAAAAATATTAATAATGCTACTACTACTGCTACTGCTACT